TGGCATGGCTTGTTTTTTTTTTCCTGCGAGCTGAATGGATGTAGTAAAGTACACTGTAAACACTGTACAGCTGGGGTACCAGAAAAAAAAACGTAAAATAACGGCCGTTAAATTGCAAATGTTTACCATAAAACAACAAATACTAAATTACAGAAGTTTACCAGAAAATAAAATTTAAGGAAATTTAACTGAAGAACAGGAAGTACATTTGCAGATTTCAATTATAGATTACAAGACCAAACCATCTTTTTAAGGACATGCACAAAATAATTGTTCACCCCAAAACTAGCAATGTGAGCTAACAAAATCTTATGGTTAGTTTTAAATTCATTTGTACTTTAAAGTTGAATGATAAGGAGGGCGTGGCCTTAATATCAAAGTTAAATGTGAGGAAGGCGTGGCCTCAATATTAAAATTGAATTGTGAGGAAGTTGTGACATCAGTATAAATTAAATTATGAGGAGGGTGTGGCCCTAATATTAAAGTTAAATGTGATGTGTCCAAGAATAAAACTGTAAAAAGCGATTAGTTACTTTTACTTTAAAAAGTGAGTAAATCCGTTGTGACCGGTAACAGTTAAGTTGACTTAACTGTTATAATTATGCATATAATTCATTTACTTAATAATTTTATGGCAATGGGTTTACTCACCTTTTTGTGCAAAATCAACTAATCACTTCAAAAGCAATGAGTTTACTCACTGTTTTAAGGAAAGCAAACAAATAATTTTTTACGTTTGTGTACGTAAAACGTGTACGTAAAACCATGTTCTAACCATGTTCCATACATTTTTCGCTATTCAACGCACTCAAGTGAGCACTCCTCCGTCATTGAAAACCAGAAAAGCATGTTTGTGTGATCATTTTCTGGGTGAATATATTTCACAATTTAAATTTTGATTTATGTCTTTTGGACTAGAGGTTTTGAGAAAAGATGGCCTACGCCTACGCATGTGCATGGAAGATGATAGATGTGAGCAGTGTTCCGTAGAGTTAAAATAGTGTTCCATACAGGGCGCATAACTGCAATTCACTGATAAAAAATAGTTTTAAGTTTTATTAAAAACCAATGTCGGAATATACTACTATTGTGTTAAACTTATAGATTATGGTATTTTTAATAACTTTTTTTGAAAGTTTGAAATGATATAACTTTGATTTGATTTTCCGATCATGATTATTTTATTACAGCATGACAATTTAAAATATTATAACATTAAATGAATGCAAATTAATGCTAACTTGGCTTTTATGAATATCATCACTGCACAAAGATTATCCAAACAGTGTTTGCAGCCTGTCTCTCAGGCTCTCTCTGACTGAAAGTTGCGCTATGAGGTCATCACCCACAACTGATGTTTAAATATCCATATTTCGCAGCATTTATTCAACAAAAGATATTTTATATAACAATTTGTGATAACATAATATTTATTCTATAAAGACTGTAATACTGTGTGATGCATAAATTAAATGCAAATGCAAAATTTCCCCCCTCCCCCCTTTAGCTTGCCCTCTGTCAATTTCAAGCGCATTAGGTGGATGTAGAAAACTTACTGAATTTTCTCAGAAACATATGGTAAGAGGGTCTCTCTTGTGCTCGAGGGTGAGAAACTGAGAAATAAAGATTACACAGACATATAGCTTGTCTAGGATCCATAAGTATTTATTTAGAGATTGCCATTAAAAAGTAATCTGTAAGGAACATCGCTGTGTACAGAACAAGGTTAGTCTACGTTAATGATATGAAAGTTGTGACCTAAAAATTTAACTTGAATGATGAGGAGGGCATGGTCTGAATAATGAATAGGTTGTGCCCTTAACAGTAATGTTGAATGATGAGTAGGGTGTGTTCTTAATAGTAAAGTTAAATGCAAGGAGGGCTTGGCCTCAATGTTAAATTTAAATAATGGGTAGGGTGTGGCCTTAATAGTAAAGTTAAATGCGAGGAGGGTTTGGCCTCAATGTTAAATTTAAATATTGGGTAGGGTGTGGCCTAATAGTAAAGTTAAATGCGAGGAGGGCTTGGCCTCAATGTTAAATTTAAATAATGGGTAGGGTGTGGCCTTAATAGTAAAGTTGAATGTGATGAGGGTGTGGCCTCAATATTAAAATCGAATGGTAAGAAAAACATGAACTCAAGAGTAAAGGCTAAAAATAAAAAAGTTGTGGTGTTAAAATTAAAGGCTAATAACCTCAAGGTCGTGGTCTCAAAACTAAAGCCTATAATGATTATATTTTAACTTATTTTCATGATTGAGACATTTATCGTTGGATTTGAGACACTGAATTTTTCATACTGCCTCTGTAAGCGCCAACAAACACTCTCAATAACTAACAACTAACAGTTCTGACTTTATGTTTGCTGTATTAGTTTGAATTAGCCTCAAAGCATACAACACGTGCATAAACAACAACAAAATAAACCTTTCTCATCATCCATTCTCATCGTTTTGCTTTCCTTTTTCATTCAGTTCTACTAGTCATCCTTTGTGTGTTGTTTCACTGTCATGTAAAGGCAGTTTAGTGTTTGCTTTTATGGGCTTCGCATGGCAAAGTGCATGCAAACAGAAGAGTGTAATATGGTAATCAAATTAGCACAACACATCAAAGGTCCTGGCTTTTTACAGCGCCATTTTCAGATCACAATTCACAACGGCAAGAGCCAATACAATAAAGGGCTTGGCAGCGTGTGTGATGATCCTGGCAGAGGACTTTAGAGTGGTGCAGTGTTCATATCACTCTCAATCCACTTTCACATTAAGAACATCATCTATGAATATTTATTTGGAAATACTGATGAGATGTCAAACGCAACAGTAACACCTTTGATGAAGATTTGGGCTTTATATGAAAATGCAATTCTCTTTGCAAATTCAACTCCATCATGTGACAGCGGCATCCACAAAGGTTCAAAGGTTTAGAAATGCATTTTAAGTGAAAAATGACATCCTTTTAAGTTGGCTCCAGTTGTTTAAAATGCTTTAGCCATAACTTTACATTATACTGTAACAAATTACATTATATTATATTATAGTATCATATATTTTTTCTTGTATGTTTCACTGCAAGTTTCTATTGTGTACATGTTTTATATTGGCAAATTACTTGTTAATAGAGGTTATATTAAAGGTCAACTGTCTTTGTGGCTCATCTTGAGATCTGTCAGGCAAATGAATGGAGGGAACCAGTAAACAATCAAAAACCTTGAAAGCAACTGGTGCTTTATTATTTGTTTTTAAATTGTATTTTTGAACTGTACATTGCACAGTAGATGAAATCTCCTAAATAGTAAATAGAACATAATGCATTGGTTACTCAAAATGAGGACCATTAGAAAGATGTTTTATTCTAGATGTTTGCATACAGGGTCTCACACAATTCCTTCATGTCGTCATAACAAAAATCAATTAACGTAAATGTTTTTTTTTTTTTTTACAAATTTAAGTTGATTGAACTTAAAGCAATTAAGTTGTCCCAAAAAAAAAAAAAGGATTGTGTTGGTTCAACAAATATTAAAGTACTTTGAATAAGTAGCATGTGACATGATGGCTCAGTGGTTAAACAGTGGCTTAGTCGTAAAACATATGCTGGAATAGTTGGCAGTTCATTTCGCTGTGGCAACTCCTAAATAAATGATTGAATGAATGAATAAATGAATGAATAGCAAGCATCCTTTTTTTGAGTGCATGTTTTATCTATTCAATAAATTGCAATTTTTTTATGTGTACTATAGCTCTGGAAAAAATTAAGAGACCACATGCAGAATAATCATAGTTTCACTAGTTTTGTTTTACTGTTTATATATATTTATAGTTGAAGTCAGAATTATTAGTCCCCCTTTTTTTTTTCCCTTTTTTAAAATATTTCCCAAATGATGTTTAACAGAGCACATGTTGCTCTGATGTTCAAAGTATGTCTGATAATATTTTTATCTTCTGGAGAAAGTCTTATTTGTTTTATTTTGGCTAGAATAAAAGCAGTTTTACATTTTTATAAAAACCATTTTAGGTCAAAATTATTAGCCCATTTAGGTAAGTTTTTTTCCGATAATCTACAAAACAAACCATTGATATACAATAACTTGCCTAATTACCCTAACCTGCCTATTAACCTAATTAGTTAAGCCTTTAAATGTCACTTTAAGCTGTATAGAAGTGTCTTGAAAAATATCTAATAAAATATTATGTGCTGTCATCATGACAAAGATAAAATAAATCAGTTATTAGAAATTAGTTATTAAAACTTTTATGATTTAAAAATGTTTAGAAAAAAAGTCTTCTATCCATTAAACAGAAATTGGGGGAAAAAATAAACAGAGACCAGGGGGGGCCAAGTTGAAGCACTCACTCTGGTCCCCCAAGCTCTGCGCTAGTTGGGGAAATTCCAAATAAACCAAAACAAACCATTACAATTGGCTTAAGATTGGCAAGCAAAATTTTGGACATTGCAACCTGCAGAACCTGGGAAAAAAATTATTAAATAATAATAATTCAGGGAGGCTTATAATTATATATATATATATATATATATATATATATATATATATATATATATATATATATATATATATATATATATATATATATATATATATTTATTTATATATTATTGTATGTGTTATTGTACTATTATATTGTATGTGACAACAAATAGTGCTGTTTATTGTAAATTTGGATGAGATGTCATCAATAATTTATAGAATAAAACTAAAATTGTAATTATATCTACAACTATATATTTACTAATCATAAATCTAGAGAAATTGAGAATTTTCGAGTCTGTACAATAAAATGTTGCCATTTACAGCACTATTTGTTGTCACATACAATAATAAAACGAATTAAACTTGTTTTAAAACATGTTTAAATTCATTTTTATATGACACAATACTTTAAGAAATCCATATTAGTATTAAGAATTTATATTTTAACATTTTACTTAAGCCCATACATAATATATCCAAAGAAACAGGTAAAAGACAGTATAAAATAAAACACATTAACCCAAAACACACCAATTTATGGCATTTCCAGAGAATAGTGTTAAAGTGTTTACATTTTCAGAGCTGAATACTTCTAAATTTTAAAGATCACATTGACAGGTTATAATTTATAAACAAAGAATATTGTTGATTTATATGCTTTAATTATTGTGTTTTCTGTCCACTAGTGTGAGGCACCTGCTCTTCGAGTTTTCCCCTTTTCTCACAGAGATGGACACAGAAGCATGGACGTGGATCCGACAGCTTCCCCGCAGTACTAAATAATTGAGAGGGCTCTCAGCTGGCCTGGAGAACTTATTAACAGGGGAAAGCAAGCAGATGGTATGAAACTTGTCATCTGGCAAAACAACACAAAAAAGTATGAGAAATTAAGTCAAGCAGTCATCACTCCCTGTGTTGCACTACTAATGCATACACGTCCTCCAATGCGTCCCGTACAACACTCACAGGAGCTGGGATTACTGTCCGTATTCCCTGTTCGCTTCTGGACGCCTCGCTCCTCGTGTCGGCATTAAAGTTTCAAGCGGCGCGTGGCTGAAAATTGTGAGACGGTTGTTCTACATGCTGGGATCCCTGAAGAAGCAGTGCTGGAAGGCAGCCATGGGCAACAGCGTGTCACAAACGCCGGGTCTGTTGAGTCTCCAGGTGCTGCTCAGGAAAAGACTCATGTTTGGTTAGCACCTACAGGGACCCGCAGCGTGTTCACTTCCCTCCTGCAGGAAACAAATTGATTGTGTTTTACGAGAACATTCCTGTTCTTGAAGCACTTCTAATAGCTGAGGAATCTACATAACGATATCAAAGTACATTTTTAGGTGTAATAAAACAACAGTTTCTTATTTTTTAAGTCACCTGAGTGATGGAGGGCAAAACATGCAGTGCAGACCTGTCAATTTCACATCTTACAAAAGAAAAACAAAAGTCCTTTCAGGCAAAGGCAAGGCAAGTTTATTTATATAGAACATTTCATACACAATGGCAATTCAAAGTACTTTACATTGACAAGAATTAGATAAACAAGAAAGTAAAAATTATTAAAACAGATAAAAACAGAGTAAAATGTGTTAAAACAGGTTTTTTTAAAAATGAAGAAAAAAAAGACAGACAATAGTGCGATCTGTCAGGTGTAGCATAGTGCTCATTCAGTAAAGGCACAGCTAAACAGATGTGTTTTCCGTCTTGATTTGAATGTGCCTAATGTTGGAGCACATCTGATTATTTCTGGAAGCTGATTCCAGCAGCAGGGGGTGTAGTAACTGAAGGCTGATTGGAATTTTTAATTCACTTGATCCTAAAGATCTGAGTGATCTGTTGAGTTTGTATTCAGTGAGTATATCTGTAATGTATTGCGGTCCTAGGACATTTAGTAATAATACTTTATAACAATATTAGAATACTTAAGTAATAATATGTCAAAATCTATTCTGAATGTAATTGGGAGCAAGTGTAAAATCCTGAGTACAGGTGTGTTGCGTTCTGATTTTTCGGTTCCGGTCAGAATCCTGGCCGCAGCATTCTGGATGAGCTCCAACTGTCAGACTGTCTTTTTGGGAAGGCCAGTCCAGTAATCCACCTTGCTGGCCATAAAATCATGAACAAGTTTCTCACTGGAAACAAAGCATCTAATTCTTGCAATGTTTCTGAGATGATAGTATGCTGATTTACTGACTGCTTTGACATGACTGTTGAAACTCAGATCTGACTCCATAGTAACACAGAGACTCTTGACCTTATTTTTTGTTGTTTGACCCTTAGTGCCGAGGTATGCATTCACCTTGAGAACCTAATTCCATTCCCAAATGCAATGACTTCTGTTTTCTCATTTTTTTAAAAAAAGTATAAATAAGTATACTTAGTAGTATTGTTTGTGTAGTGGGCTATAAGTTTACTACAGTTTAAAAGTGTTAAGTTAACTTTTACAAAAGTGAGTAAAAATATTGCTTTAAAGCGATTAGTCGACTTTGAATGTGTGAAAAGTGTTTTAAAAGTAATTTTTTATTTTTTTTATGTAAAGTTAACTGACCAAGGTATATTGGGCATAGTGTTAGAGCTGTAGAAAATGTTGTTTGGTCAGAGAAAAATCCCCACAATTTACAGAAGTCTAATACATCGTAACATCAGATTAGGTGACTGCTTTAAAAGAAAAAAGAAAAATGATTAAACAAAGGCACTATAATTGTAAAAAAAAAAATCAGTGTAACATTCATTCATTCATTACATTTTCGTTTCGGCTTAGTCCCTTTATTATTTCAGGGTCGCCACAGCAGAATGAAACGCCAACTTATCTAGCACATTTTTATGCAGCGGATGGCCTTCCAGCCGCAACCCATCTCTGGGAAACACCCACACACTCTCAATTACACACACACACACACACACATACACTCACACAATACGAACAATTTAGCCTACCCAATTCACCTGCACCGCATGTCTTTGGACAGTGGGAAAACTGGAGCACCCGGAGGAAACCCACACGAACGCAGGGAGAACATGCAAACTCCATTAGTGTAACAGCTCCACATTATAAAAGGAATTTTTTAACTCCCTTTTGTAACTAATCACTTTTATTAATGTAATGAATGTGCTTTAAGTAGTTTACTTATAAGTGCATTATTTTAATACTATTTGAGACTTTAAGTGCTTTAGATTTAACAGTTAACTTTGAGTCCAGTTGAATGTTTCATTTGATACAATAAAAAATACAATGTTTATTTTTAAAGCACTATTTGAAACGACTGTATTTTACCAAAGTGCTATAATATAATAATAAGGCACAAAAGAGGTACAATAGACAGCAAGAATTAAAAAGGCTGAATGAGCAAACAATATTATCAAATTTAGAAACACTGCAATGAAAAGCAACAATAACGGCAGAGATCAAAGAATATTAAAGCAAGAGAAAATTGCATAATTATTTTAAGCAGACTTGAAGGCTGAAATAGAGGAAGTCTTATATGCAGTGGTTGACTGTTCCAGAGTTTTGGACCATCACTAGCAAAAGTAAAATTGTCTTGTTTTTTTTTTGGTTTTTTGTAAATATATAGTTGTTTAGACATGGTGAATAGATACTAATCAGAAAAGAAAAGAAGAATGTTTATTATTATTATTTTCTTTGCAAATTCAAAAGCATATAGAAAATAAATGTGCTTGTCCATTCTGTATAAAAGACAAATGACAATGTTTATTCCACCATCACAAATTGTGGATTTTTTTTGTAAGTAAAATAAACTAATTTGGTGACTTAGCACTGTCACCTCACAGCAAGAAGCTCGAGTCCCGATTGGGTCAGTAGGCATTTCTGTGGAGTTTGCATGTTCTCCCCATGTCTGCATGTGTTTCTTCCCAGGATCTCTGGTTCCCCCATAGTTCAAAGACATAGGTGAATTCAGTAAACTAAATTGGTCATTGTGTGTGTGTGTGTGTGTTTGTGTGATTTAGTGGATATGGATGTTTTGCAGTACTGGGTTGCAGCTGGAAGGGCATACACTGTGTAAAAAATATCCTGGATACGTTGGTGGTTCATTCCGCTGTGGTGATCCAAGAGGGACTAAGCCGAAGAAAAATGAATGAACAAACAAATTTAAAAGATTTAAAACTCTATTTATGAATGTTTTAAAGCATCAGAGATTACAGAGAACATACATTAACCCTTTATTGGGCAAAGAGTTGTACCTCATATATATATATATATATATATATATATATATATATATATATATATATATATATATATATATATATATATATATATATATATAGTAAAAAAAAAACTATGTAATAATCTATAAAGAGTTTAACACTTTAGAATAAATTAAAATGATCTTCATTTGTGCTCTAAATAATAAGAGGGTGAGTAAATACTAAATAGCATTTTCATTTTGGGGCAAACTTTTAACTTCACCATGAAATTTAGTTAGTTGTACTCATAATGTTTGGTAAATCTCTTCACATGTATATAGTTTCCATCATAAAAAAGGATCACTACTTAATCAAATATTATTATATTAATAATACTTATTATTAACCAGACAAAAATGAAAGCCAGTAGAATAAAGTAATGTTTTTCCTCCCAGGTGGGCACACTTAGCATGTGACGTCACATGTAAAGTATCGTGCCAGTGCAGAAACTCCATCAACACATACCAGTCATCCATTGTGATTTAGGGCCTTCCTTTTAATTGCAATTCAGATCATGGCAACAGTTCATGTAAAGTGGCGGTTTGAAAAGAAAGCCAGCCATGATGCTGACCCTGCTGTGCTACAACTAACCTTCGGAATAATTGCAATGCACTCACTCCAGCATAGTTTGGTTTACACCCATCCACAATGGTGCTTATGGAAATATCTCCATGCGTGGCACACATAATATCTCTTAATTAAAGAATAATTTCAAATGTCCACAATGCTGTTTTTCAGCCAGACACGAAATGGCTCTTCTTGTCCCGAGAGACTTGAAGTGGTGTTTTTTTTTATATATCTGACTCTGGCAAAAGTGAGCGTGTGTTTTCATTATGTAGTGGGCCACGAGGTTGCTAATGGATTTGGGATTTTTGATCGGCATTGGTGTATACTGATTTAGTTTGATTTGCGTTGAAAGCATGCTGTTTTTCACTTACAGATATACTGCTGTAAACTACGATTTAAAATCATGAACTTTCGTGAGGTTATTTCTGTAGATTATGCCATCTTCATGTCAGGTTTTTCCTTTTACAAACTATTTAATTAAGCTTAGAAACTCAATGCCTCTTGTATCATAAGCAGAAAACATTCCTTTTACACTAATAACAGACTATAAACCGTCAGATAATTCACGTACACTGTAAAAAGAAAAAAAAAGCAAATGAACTTATCTAGTATACCTAACTTACATAACTTATATCAATCAGACTGACTTTAAAATATTAAATTAAGCTTTGCATAACTTAGCTGAAGTTGAAACCTGATTAAATTAGCAAAATAAATTAAAGTAGCACAAAACACATTTGTAATCATTACTTTTTGTCATATATTTTTTGTGTACTACTCTTTGCTTGTGAAAAGCTGTTTTTTATGGAGCCAGATCAGTCTCAAAAATGTTACATTTACAAAATAAAATTCATAAATCCACAAAATTCAGTTTATAAGTTCAAAACACAATTCATAAATACAAAACATGATTCAAAAATACACAAATCCCATTCAGAAATTTAAAACGTAATTAAAAAATAAACAAATCCAGTTCATAAATTCAAAACACTATTCATAAACTCACAAATCCAATTTGTTAATTCAAAATACGATTCAAAAATACACAAATCCAATTCGTAAATTCAAAACACAATTCAAAAATACAACAATCCAATTCATGAAGCAAAATTATTTTTGATTTTTACTTGTGAATTCATGAATTGTGTGTATTTTGTAAATGTGAATTGTGCTGTGAATGTATGAATTTTATTTTGTAAATGTATCATTTTTGAGACTGATCTAGCTCCATAGTTTTTCATGTAGTTTGTAATAATAGCAGGAAAAAAGATATTCCACCATGTTTTGTTGGCTTTAAAAAAAACTTAAATAAGCACAGTATTTAGCAAGGCTGCTTTGATTATGAAACATCAATGTACTATGACCAACTAATCCATCCAGTCTTGCCTGGAATGGCACATAAACATAAACACAATCTAATGTATTTTGGGATATTTAAAGAGCTGTATGAGTGGTCAGAGTCAGG